TCAAAGTTTGTATTTCTTTCCAATTTGCCCATATCGCGATGGCTTTGACAGCAAAAGAAAAAGCACTGCAAAGGCATTACAGAAAGTCACCACGAATCCGCCATGAGGAAAACAATAGAAGAGGCCCCCGAAACTGACAGCATTTCATTCACAGAATAATTAGATGGATTTTGACAATAAACTACATGAAACCCAGAAAAGAAAGAAAGTGGATTTAAAACAAACAAAAAAAGCCCACTTCCTCTCTTTCTGTATCTGTTGCTCAGAGTACCAGAAATGGATAAATCAAGTGGAGTGAAAAAGTAATGATTTCCCCACTTTAAAAAAGGCATTTATTTCCGAGATAATACAGAATGATCAGAGAAAGCGTGTTTTCTTTAGTGCTTGTTAAAAGTTACGGAAACGAGCGCTCCAGATTATGGCGACAGCTTACAAATAACTCAACTGAGCCATTAATTATAGCCTAGGACTTCACTTTTGTCATTACGGCAACAGACACAACTTGAAGTGCGTGTGTGTGTGTGTGTGTTTGTGTGTGTGTGTGTGTGTGTGTGTGTGTGTATGCACTAATGAACTGAAAGAAAAGACTGGCAGTTTCAAGCATTGTGTAAATCACCAAGAGAACACAGCACTCCTCCAGCAGGACGATGGGTTTAATCAGAGGGTGACATTTAATTAGCAAATTTCTTTTGTAGATAAAAGGTCAGCTGAAAGGAGAGCAGTCCACCCTGACCCGCCACATCATGGCCCAAGGAAGCTTTGTATGGAACACAGAGGCTCAACCATGAGTCACACTGCTGAAAAACATATGGGGGGGGGGAGAAGAGAGACACGTCCTTCTCTGGCTGTTTACAGAAACGGCAGCTTCTCAGTCCCGGGCAGCCATCCACTCCAGTGACCTGGTTTCTCGGGCATCCATACAGGTTGAGGAGGTGCAAAAGAATCTAGAGAAGAACATGTGAAGGTCGGTCTCCCAGACTGACTCAGACGGCCATCTCTTCTGCTATTGGCAAAGTTTTTCTCCATGATCTCCTCCAGATGTTCTCCCTTACACGTGATGTCCGAGATCTTTCTCTCTAGAATTGTGAGGAATCACCTTGGGATTTTTTTTCCCTTCGAAGGAGACCTGTAACGTGGTAGAGCAGGAAGGGACCCCTGAGCATCCTTAAGTCCCTCCACCCCGCCAACACAGGACACTCACACACATCAAATACACCTGACAGACGGTTTCAAGAAAGAGGAAGCCTGATTTCGGTTGAATCTCAGGAAAAACTTCCTAACTGTTAGAGCAGCACAACAGTGGAACCCATAACACTGTTATGGGAGGTGGTGAGCGCTCCAACACTGGAGGCCTTCAAGAGAAATTTAGAGAACCATCAGTCTCATATTCTTTGATTTGGATTCCTGCACTGAGAGAGGGACATGGTGGCGCTGCGGGCTAAACCGCAGAAGCCTGTGCTGCAGGGTCAGAAGACCAGCAGTCGTAAGGTTGAATCCATGTGACGGAGTGAGCGCCCGTCGCTTGTCCCAGCTCCCGCCAACCTAGCGGTTCGAAAGCATGCAAAAGTAAGTACATAAATTTGGACCACCTCGGTGGGAAGGTAACAGCGTTCCGTGTCTAAGTTGCACTGGCCATGTGACCATGGAAGATTGTCTTCGGACAAAAACGCTGGCTCTGTGGCTTGGAAACGGGGATGAGCACTGCCCCCTAGAGTCGAACACGACTGGACCAAAATTGTCAAGGGGAACCTTTACCTTTACCTTTTACCTGCACTGAGCAGTGGGTTGGACCCGGTGGCCTTACAGGCCCCTTCCAATTTCATTATTCCAGGAAAACCTTTGAGGAAGGCAATCCCACCACCTCCTGATGTTGAGAATCTCACACTCACAACGACCCACATCCATGTTGTTTACTGTTGGGAGGCAGGGCAAAAGGCAGTATTTGAAAGACTCAAATTGTCTTTCTATTGGAGTGCCAGTTCCACGGCAGGTATGACGTGCCAGCCTGGTCAAAAGAGGGGCTTTCTCCCTCCTTCACTGGCCTTGATTGGCAATGGACTGGGAATTAATTTAGCTTGAATTCATTTTAATAAGAGAAGTGGGGCATAAGCCAGGATAGCTATCCCAGCTGTGATGTCTCTAAAGACCGTCGCATGCAGAGCGAGGGTCTCAGAAGGTTGTCTTGAGATGGCCGTGGTCCGACAGCAACGCCGTGGGCGGCGTGGGTGAGGTGGCCCAAGAGACAGCAAAAGAGATTGGTTCCACCTTGTGAATATCCTCTATCTCTCTGCCTTGCACTTTTCTTTACACCTGGCAAGGCATCATATCCAAGAGCTGCTATAATCTGTCACTGAGGGAAGAAGTTATGGAAGGCTTTTCAGAGGAGAGCCATCTGATGGATGCTTTCGATCCATCCCATCGCTCTTCCAGATAAATCCATCAGAAATAACCGTAAGACGTCGGGGACTTTCTGCTTGAGAAGAAATGCTCCGTCGTGCAGAATGGCCCTCTCACCGTACGCAAGACAGTCGCGGACAGTCTGCACACCTGCAAAGGTTCATCCATCATCCACGAGGCATCTGATAAATCCCACCTCCCCAGGCCAACACCCTACTTCTCCGTTTCATTTCAGCACCATTCTGTGTGAGGTGCTTTCCTAAAGTCGGAAAGAACAGGCTCTCGGAAACAACAACAACAGCAACAACGCCTCCTGCTGCCATGAGTCTTGAGCGCTCCTCATGAGTCTTGAGTGCAATGCTTTGAAATAGTAGACCAAGCTGAGGAAGTGGAGGGTGTCCAGAGCTTTTGAGACAAAGCTCAGTGCACGCAAGGAGGTACCGGGTATGAGCAAGGAAAGAATCCCGCTTGAAATCCTGTCACAGTTCGAGTAGGCAACCTGGGTCGAGGGGGACGATGGGCCAGGCTCAGTGGAAGGGCACCTTCCCCTACTGCTCCTTGCACAGCCACAGCCATGGGAGTTCGGCCCTCTTTCCTTTCGCTCAAGGATAGGAATTAAGCAACTTCCTTTTGGAGACACGGAGCAGAGAGGGACAGGATGGAGAGATGCACACCTGGCCCGTGACTCTTCTCCATGGTCTGTGGGTGCTGTGGGGGAGACCCAGTCAGCCCTGGGGGGGACAGGACGGAATACCCACTGTACCAACCAAACAAGTCCTTTCCTGCAAACATTTCATACCTCCATCCTGTATACACACACTCACTCTTGTGAGCCATGAAAGAAAAGTGCCTGTGTTTCCTCTGAAATGGTCTCTCCCCCCCTCCCATCCCTGTGAAATTACACCTTGCTCAATGCTCGCTCTTTCGATCACGCTTGGATGCCCAGACCCCGACCTCTGGTTTTCTGGAGCAAAGCATCCTGACTGTCAAAGAATCCTACAAACCCTGGTGATGATTTCCTAACCTTTCAGGGACTCTTAACGGTCAAATCAGAACAGATAAAGTGAGCTGGAAGAAACGACACGGGGCAAATATGGTTACTTGTGTTTTTCCAGCTCAGTTTGAGGTGAACTTTTCCAAGAACCTGTGCTTCTCTCTCTCTCTCTCTCTCTCCTGGTGATGATTTCCTAACCTTTCAGGGACTCTTAACGGTCAAATCAGAACAGATAAAGTGAGCTGGAAGAAACGACACGGGGCAAATATGGTTACTTGTGTTTTTCCAGCTCAGTTTGAGGTGAACTTTTCTAAGAACCTGTGCTTATCTCTCTCTCTCTCTCTCTCTCTCTCTGTGTGTGTGTGTATTTGTGTGTGCATGGATGTGTGACACAAAGAGAGAGAGAGAGAATATGAGAAAGAGAAAGAGAGAGAGAGATAGAGAGAAGCCATGCATGTGAACTGAACAAATCCCTGACCTCTCAGCTCCTACTATCCCTGGACAATTCTCAGATATCTTCCTTGGGACCTACACAGAAGGGGAAACAGGATTGGTACCTAGCTGCAGCAGTATCTGGCAGGTGGCGTGTTCCGCTCTAACACAGCTTCTCATCGGCTTCAACAAATATTGGACTATCTGGACAGTAGGTAGATACGTAACCCTTCCATAGATATTCTCAAGCAAGATCTAGTCTCGTTATGGCTCTGTTCTCCCGGCCCTGATATTCTTCCTAGAAAGTAGGGAGCACGGCCTTCCCTGGGGGCACTTGGTTCTCTCCATGTTGGAAGAGCCAGCTGTCCTTCAACTGAGCAGCACTCCGGCAACTTTGCCTCCTTCCTTTGCAACGACATGACCCTAAAAAGTGACTTTAAAAGACATGCCCAGATATGGCCTTAAGAAATCAGGAAGAAACACACTTCTCCCCCCCCCCCTCATGACATGACCCTAAAAAAGTGACTTTAAAAGACATGCCCAGGTATGGCCTTAAGAAATCAGGAAGCAACACAGTGCTCCCCCCCCCTCTCCTCACTTTACTAGCTGTAATAGTTATGGGTCCTGGACAGGGAGAGGGTGAAATTTCTAGCCATGGGTTGAGTCAGTGCAGCTGTGAAACAACACAAGTGAACGATGACCATCCACTCTTGTCCATGTTTTGCCTCCATGGCCAACAACTCAACCCAACCCTTCAGAGCTCAGCTCTTCTTCAGCTCAAGCTCCCGTTTGTGTGCCTGTAGCAGAGACAGCCTGGATGTTCCTCTCTTGCCACCTGGAAGCCTAAGACACGTGTCTACCTGGCCCGGCTCATTGAGTTGGTCTCATCTTCCTTGCTTCCTGCACCAAGAGATGCTCCGCTCATTGGTCACCCTGGGTCAATTGTTTAGATACAGGCCTAACTTGCTCCCCAAATTAGCTCATTTGGTTCAGACTCATTTGGGGAAAGGATCTCGGAAGTCCTATTACCTGGAAATCCATTTGGATGTCAAGGACTTCCATATCATGGTTCCCATTCTCCTGTTGACCACCCACCTCCCAGCGCCCCCCCCACTCCACCTCTCAACTGCCGTTTGCACAGAGGGTAGGCACAAAGCCGTTCCAGAAGCACCCTCACCTGTGCTGCTGGATATGTTGACGTCAATGCTGATATCTGAAATGCCTCCTCCTTTCAGAGACGCAACACAGGTGTACGTCCCAAAGTCCGTGAACTTCAAGTCAATGATGTCCAAGTTGGTGGTCCCTGGAGAGACGTCCGGGTCTGTCTGAGTAATCACCATCCTCTCGGAGCTGCGGAGAGGCCGTCCATTCTTAAACCAGCTAAAGGTGAGCTCTTCCGATGGAACTGCCTCCACCTGGCAAGAGATCTTGACCTCTCGGCCAATCTGGATGTTGTCGTCTTTATGATAAGGGTCGGGGGTGATCCAGAATCGTCCTTTCCTCAAGGCTGGAAAAAAATAGAGTTAAAGACTTTAGAAATCAGTTGGATACAGGAATATCACAGGGAGTTTGGAGAGGGAAGGAAGGAAGGAAGGAAGGAGCCTCCACCTGGCAAGAGATCTTGACCTCTCGGCCAATCTGGATGTTGTCGTCTTTATGATAAGGGTCGGGGGTGATCCAGAATCGTCCTTTCCTCAAGGCTGGAAAAAAATAGAGTTAAAGACTTTAGAAATCAGTTGGATACAGGAATATCACAGGGAGTTTGAAGAGGGAAGGGAGGAAGGAAGGAAGGAAGGAAGGAAGGAAGGAAGGAAGGCACACACATACTGTAAATGAGACACATCATGATTATTGTGTCATTAGGGGGGTAAGTCCCATCCCTTGTCAATTCAGAGTAGAGCCCCTTGCCTCTCCATTAGGTCCTGGGCCACCTATGGTCACTATGGTATAGAGGCAGAAGGAAATTTAGTGGACGTTCATTTCTGGAGGAAACCTTGATCCATGCTTGCAGCGGGCTCTAAATGGCACAGTGCCCCACCTTGAGATGATGGCATGACCCAGGAATAAAGCAGTAATCTGGACATAGACTCAGGAGGCTGAGGAACTGGTGGTATTAACAGAGGAGACACCCGTCTCTGAGTGCTTGAGACACACACGGACGGCTTCGAACTTCAGAAGATCGAACACCCTTGAGACCCATTAGCCGAAGACCTCTAAATCTAAACCAGCAGCATCAAGCCTTGACCGCTGGGACAGCACCTTCTTCTTCAAAAGCTCCATCCCACCAAGGGGTGATGGGCTAAATGACAGCAATAAGGTAAGCATTTAAGGAGAAAGGTGGAGAGACAAGGGAGCAGGGGGCTTGGCGCCAAAGACCTATCCCTTCAGAGGGGCAGCTCGTCCCAGGAATTCATGAAGCTCCAGACCTTGTCTGAGCAAACCGGTCACCTGGAGAACAAGCCCCAGGCGGTGCCCTCTGTCCTGTCTTGAACTCCAAATGCTTCCACCACTTGCCCAAACACAAGACCACAAGGCCAGGCCTTTTCCTAGAGGCCAAGGAGAAGGAAAACCGCACCACCCTGCCTGGCCTCCAACCTTTGGGCCAGACGGTGCTGCACCGGCGGTCTTGAGGAGAAGGATGGTGCCCACGGAAGGTCCATTTTAGCAGCCATCCATGAGGGACCCCAGAGTCTCCCCAAAGGAGGTGAGGACTGGGAACATACTTGAGCCAGGAGAGTGCCCTGCCAGCTGAAACGTCAACTCTGGAAGCACCATGCGCTCCAGAGTACTCTTCAAAATCTTTATGGATGACTTGGATGAGAGAGAGTGTGTAGGATATGTATTCTCGAAGGCTTTCACGGCCAGGATCTGATGGCTGTTGGGGGTTTCTCAGGCTGTTTGGCCATGTTCTGGAGGTTTTTCTTCCTAACGTTTCACCAGCCTCTGTGGCTGGCATCTTCAGAGGACAGGAGTCAGCACTCTA